CTTTCTTTGCACCCCTGAATCCATTGTACACAATTCCCATGATTTTAGAACCATTTTTAACCTTATGCTATCACCCCCATCATGTGTCCCCCTGCCTGGCTCCCAGCTCTGGGATGTTCCCCAGCAAACATTCCCTGTGATCAGCTTTTCCTGCACTTTGCCAGCTGCAGAGCGGTGCCATGGGCAGGTGATGCTCTGGGTGATGCTTGTGATGAATGCATGGAAATCTGCATTCACGGGAATCACAGATGGGGAATTTCTAATCTCTGCTCCAGGCCAAGTGCGGATGTGATTCTCAAAGATTATTCAGTGAGTCAGCTCAAAGTGAGCTTTCCTCAAGTATCCTGGATTTTTTTGAATAAACCCTCTCCATGTTTGGAGTGCTGTCTGGGGCTGCAGAGCTGTGCTGTGTGCTCGGCTGATGGCAGCTGCAGCCACAGGCAGGGCAAAGCCACGGGGGAACGGGACAGTGAGAAGGTCAGAGGATGTTTGGCACATTTATCACTGTCTGCTTCTTGCCAAGCTCTTCCAAACCCTGACTGTAGCTGTGACTGTCACACTGTGTTTGGAGACAGATCCAAGAGATGACTCAGGGCCCATCTGTGTTGCCAAATAACTTCACTCCGCTGTTTGCTGCCGGTGGTGTCCGTGCTGGCGGCTGCTTTGGAGTGAGCCAGCTCCTTCCCTCCAGCAGGGACTTCTGCAGGGCTGCTGGCACAGCTGCAGGGTGCATCCCCGTGCTGCTGCTGCTGCTGCCTGACAGCTCTGAGCTGTGTAGCATCCCTGCTGTCACCCCAGCATCAGCATCCCTTTTGTCACCCCAGCATCAGCATCCTGCTGCAGGATTGCCCCAGGGAGGAGACGTGCAGGGTGAGGGTCCAGCAGGGAGGTGACAGCACAAAGGGGAATGGATTTTGGGCAGGAATTGTTCCCTGGCAGGGTAGGCAGGGCTGGCACAGGTGCCCAGAGCAGCCCCTGGATCCCTGGCAGTGCCCAAGGCCAGGTTGGACATTGGTTTGGAGCAGCCTGGGACAATGGAGGTGTCCCCAAGGCAGGGGTGGCACTGGATGATATTTAAGGTCCCTTCCCACCCAAACAATTTTGGGATTTCAGGCCCCACTTTAGTTCTGAGTTACAGTTTTAGTAACAATTTAAAGTTTACAGCACTCACTGAAAGTAACTTTGGATGGGAACACACAGCTTTATTACTTTTCTTTCATAGTTTTATCAACAAATACAGCCTTTCCTAACAGCCTTTCTACCCTCTTGCCTCACGATTTATTTTTGAAAGTGCTATAAATAGGCAATGCTCTGGATTGGGTCAGTTCCCCAGGGAAATAAGTGCATGCCACTTTTATATTAGAGGTTAAATCCTGCCAGCCTTGCACTCACTGAGGAGAGCATTAGGGGAGGTGTAAGGCAGGGAAGAACTTGCTGCTGTGTACAAATGTAATTTCACAAAGTACACCAATTGCA